ATACATCATAGAACTGTCAGGTGTTGCTCCAAAAATCTAATAAAAATTATTACAACTTTGAATATATTGAATATTAACAGATAAAAAAAATATTCTTATCAATCACTGAGCTGCTTTTCATTTGGTTACACTGAGTTAATTTGATAACGGGCAATATTTCATTCATTCTGCAACTTAGACCTTTCAAATCCCTCATGTAAGTTTGTTTAATAGAATATATTTTTATTTTCCATGTACATATTGTATAAGATGGATTAACTTTTATTTTACATCCCTAAGACATTACAGGTATTAAACACCGGAGCCCATCCCAGGATGCACTCACTAAAACAGTTTCATTAATTTTGATGTTTTGCTATGATTAAAACCAAAATGCACAGAGCTGACACCAGTTAGAGACACTTTAAAGTTTACCATGTGCTGATGCAGCAGCAACCATCAGTTGAAGATGCAGACAGTGTGTGTTTTTATGTTAATTTGCCTCCAGCGTCAGTCTGCCCTCTAGCGCACTTGTACCTACATGCAATCGCTGACTGTGTCCAGCTGAGCAGACGTGTGTGGCAGCCGCACAGCTTTGTAGAAAATGAGAAAAGTCTTTGATGATGACATCAGGAAATGTTCAAATGTAACTAAGATGTGTTGCATTGATTGCTTTGTATCTATCTAACTGTGGTTTACATGTCTGCAGCGACTTTTGGGAAATTGTACATCTACTTTTCTATCATTTTTTGCACATTACACATATTTGGTTTGACCGTAATTATAGCAGTAAGACGTTGACACATCAGCCGCACCCACAGGTGCTCTGACTACAGGAAAACCGCGCGTCCTGGTCTCCATGTGTTTGTTGATTCATTTCTATAGACATGACAGCATGATAATTGGAGGAAAACATGCAGTTTAAGGTCTTCAGTAGGTTTTCTTTGGTTCCCACCTCTGCTTCATTCACAGCAGATGATTAGGTTGAATTTGTCTGGTTCTTTCTGCAATGTGATTGGTTGTTTCACCCTGTGAGTAAAGCATAAGTCAATGCTCCCTTCCATGCAGTTTCAATCAATTTACTCCGTGCGCTCTGCGGGTACATTGCTTGAACGCTTTCACTGATCCTGTGGGAACTAATTTAAAACTATTTTGTCAATTTTTCATTTTAGAAATGATGATCATAGTCATACTGTCATGTTTCACCATAATGGTGTCTGCAGTACCAGTAAGTAGACTCATATTGATTATATATTCAGAACAATATTTGGAATTAATATGTTTTGTTCTGTGTTTATTAGGCAAACAGCTATCTAGTCAACGTGTGATAAAGATTCTGCGAAATTTGTTGTGACTGTGATCATTTGGGGGTTTTTCTTTTCTTTTTCAGGTCACGTCAAATGTCCTTCCTGCTCTACAGACACAAGGAGGAGCCACTCAGACGCAAAGAGTTCAGCCTGCTGAGGTCACAAACCAGAAACCTGAAGCTCAGAGACCAGCTGTGCTTCCTCCCAGTGTGGAGCAACCACAGTCTGGAGTTACCCAGCAGCCAAATCCGCAGCTCAACCCCCAGCTCCGTCCTTCACTGCAACAGTACATGTGGTCTCCACAGGGGGGCAGTCCACTGCTCATCCCCATGCAGCCCAGCATCCAGGGAGCTCAGTTTGCTAATCAGCTGGCACTGCCACAGCAGCCTCTGGTAGGAAAATGAAGAGAAAAAAAAAAAAACATAGCAGAGAAAAATTCTTCTTTTATGTTCCCGATCCCCACATTAATCTTAAAACATGTTAACATACATTCCTAAGATACTCTTCAGTGAATCACACTGCAGCATATTTGAAGTGTGTTTTGTTACTGTTTTCAGATTTTTCCACCTTATGGATACATCCCTCTGTTCTCACCCCCCTATACGAATCAGCTGGTAAGATGTTGTTAGGAAATACACTGTTTATATGCCTGCAGACAACACGCATTCCATGCAGTACAAAATAGACTAGAGATAAAAAGAAAAAAAAACATGCTTTCCAACTACAACCCAATTCAGCACGAAAGATTACACCTTAGGGGACTTCTACAGTGCAGTGAAGGCATCTATTTTTTCTCTTGTTGTGTTGTCAACATGTACTGAATAGGAAAACAGAAACAGCCAGAAACTATTTCATAAGAGAGGCTGTTGTGGAAATAAAGACATCTGTATTTTGCCGTATCTGATTTATGACCCTGACATGGAAACTTAAGTGCTGTCTTTCAGTGCACAGGACTTTATGCCAAAAGCTCTTTTGCAATTCTAATACTTAACACCCAACTGTCTAAAATTCTGAGTAGCTGGTTAAACCTTTTGTTGATCTGTATTGTGACTTTATCTTGTGTCAGTCCAGACATGTTTGAGAAAAATGAAAAGGTAAATGTAATTTTACTTTCTCCAAGCTGTCCCCATATGGATTCCCGATGATGCTTGAATCACCTCTCCCACAAAGTCCAGCATATCAGCTCCCAAACAGTCCAGTGTTACCTGCTGATAATGCTGCAGGACCTGCTGCTCCTTCTGGAAATGCACCTCAGCCAGTGCAGCAACAACAGGTGTCTTTGCCTTTTATATAAGAAAAAAAAAGAGATTTGACTATAGAATGTTGCAAAAACTTAATGTTAAGTAAAAGCTGTTTCATAACCAGATTATTCTCATCCACAGAATCCCCAGATTGTATACATGCTACAGCAACCTATGGTAACTAAACAGTGCTCTTTGTAAACTTGCATATAAACCAAATTCATGTTCTTTGTATTTTCACAGTTTTCTCTCTGAGGATATATCGTTTGACATGTGCTATAATTTCTTTTACCAGAGCTCTCAACTCGCACTTGGAGGTCTTAGCTCTGAGGAACTTGAGGTAGCACTGCCAAGATTTTTATCTGTCTCTCAGCTTGTTCAAACAGTCTGCTCAGTGAACTCAGTGATCCTACTGATGATCCAGTTGTTCCCCCTCCCTTACCCCTTACACTAGCTCTGCTCTCCTCTCTGTTTCAGATGGCAGCTAAGATGAGCCAGTTGGGTGTGTACATGCCAACCGTGCTCACGAACCAGCCTGCAGGAGCAGTTCAGCCCGAGAGACAGGCCGCGGGACTGACAAACCCTGAGCAGCAAGGCGTCGCACCGACCATGGGGACCTCGGCAGCTGCAATCCAACAGGGGCAGGCTTGCTCTGGATCGCAGCCGAATGCTAACAGTGTCCCAGCAGGTTTGGAAGGAGCAGCGCAGGAGGCAGCCACCGTCCAAACATCTGTTCGACCCAAACTCCAGCCAACACAGGGAAACCTTGTCTGAAACTGTAGCCACCAGCAGAGACGACTCACTGAGAGAAAACCTAAACACATTACTGATGGAAAATGTAGACTACTAGTTTGTTAGTGGAGCTTCTCAAGTATATTACTAACCATGAATGTTTTATTTCATTTATTGATTTTTTTCTAACTATTAAATAATATCCATTAAAAATACAACCAAGACTGATTGTACCTGAACTGTGTCATCTTTTCTAATTATGTGTGTCCTGTTCTTTGATTATTTTAATTTAAAGATATCCTTATTTTAACCTGCATCATGTTGCTTTTGGGAGCAGTGAAACCAAGTTGTAAACACAATATTGACATATATAAAGTTAATATTAGCAAAAAATACTGATCTAAAGCCAGCAGGCATGGAGCAATGCATGCTTTCATTTGGAGTTATGTTTAAGTCATTCTTTTAGCTCTGGGTTCAGTCTAGGGAAGAATCTGTCTCTTTACCTGCTAAGTGCTGCTGCAAAGTTGGTCTCTGTGTCATCTGGTGCTTAGATTTAGTGTACAGTAGGTTGGTGCTGAGGATAATTACAGCCTCGGAGTGGTGAGAGTGAAGGTTGCAGTTTGTTATACCAAAACAATGAGCTGAAGGTTGCACAGAGAAACCACAGAGTGAGGGGATAATTATCTGTTCATTGGTCATTATGAGAAATCCCTTTCATATTATTCACAATCATTTGATCCATTGTTATTATAAAGTATTGATTATTGCAGCTATAATCTGTTCAGTTTTACTTACATTTCATTCAGTTTATTCAGTCAGAACTGATTTCCTCTACAATATCCATTTTGTGAGACAGTAAAAGTTTCCTCCCAGCAACACTTTCTTACAAGCAAAGGCCATAAATTATACTGCATGCACATTGTTCACAGGTCTTTAAACTCCAGTTGTGTGTTCTAAATTTGGAGTAGCTTTCAATGTGAGCCTGTAGCAACTTCCGGAACTGAACTCAAATGGCTTGAATGCTGCTTTCTCAGTATTTTTCTTCCCACTTGTGCCATAGTGTAAGAGGAGTGTACATAGTGGGTATCTAATCATCGGGCTGAGACATTTTCTTTCCATGTAGCGGATTTTGGCCCAAGTGCAGCTCTTAAGTGTCCCCAAAGTGTAAAACACGATGCCGAGTGATGGCTTGAGCACTGTACTTCCCAGCTGTAACCAATTTACAGTTCCACCAAAGACAATAAATCCGCCTATATTTAACAAAACATGTGTTACTTTGCACAGAAATTAGAAGATCGCAACAGCTGTGCACATGTTGATGTTGGTCCAGTTTTAATGTAATCATTACACACATTTAACCATCATCAACTGTAACTCGGTATGTGACGTATTACAGCAGGTATACAAGATGCCTGTGACATAATGTGATATTTTAAAATGCAAAGTTAAAAAGGTACTAAAGATCGCCTTTTCTCTGGATAAATATTCACAAATAAACCCGATGCCCTTCGTGACTGTAAAAGATGTTGCAAGAAAAAACCTGAAAAAACAAATCGCCAAGGGATCAAATGTGATTAATGTGCATTTCCAGCCAAAAATGTTTTAGGAGATTTCTCACAGACACATAGCTGCCAATTTCATAATCGTAAAATGAAAACCTTTGGCTTGTCACCAATGCCTGTCAAAAAAGTTTGCTCGCCCTTTGTTCTGTCAGCAGATAAATAGGAGTAGATCTCTCTCCACAAATCACACCCCTCCTCAACGGTCCTTCAGTCCTCACGTGCTGCCAGAAAGGAGAGGTAATGTAGACCATTATTATAGAATGAAATGTTAAATTACAATTACATCTTATTTCTATGCTTTTCTAAGTGATTATGTAAATGTTAGAAAATGTAATAACTCTCTAAATCCTCTCTTTGTCAGTTTATTTCAAGATGAAATACATCCTGCTTTCCGCCTGCATCCTTGGGATGGCCGTCTGTGCCCCTGTAAGAAAAGACTTTATTTCTAAGATATTTCTGTTACTTCACTTCCTCTTATTTCTCTCACATGTATTGTGTTACAGGCATCCTTCTTAATATTTAATACTGTGAATAACAGAGAACACAATTTCACCTCAACAATATCTGCTCTGAAGCTTTTGATCATCATTGATTTCCATCAGCAGATCATCAAATTTCCATTTTTTTGGGAAAACTTTAGGGATTTCTTGACTCTCATTATTTAGCTGTAAATGATATTTACCAATACAAGTTTGTCTGAAAAATCTGTTTTACACTGACCTGCATTCCACTGAATCTGCTTTATTTTCCTCTCCTTCACAGCCGCAGATGTACATGGAGTTTGACATCCATCACGCTCCAGCTCAGGTAGAAAGAAACAGTGCAGATCACTTGGTGTCTATCATGGTATACACACAAAAACCTAAAAGACACATTTTCACACATCGCAGAACAGGCTCTGCACACAGGTCTGCTATTATCTGCTCACCACTGATGATCATGTCCTCACAGCTGAGCTGCTTAGTTCTTTTACTCTCTTAGTTTGCAAACTTTTTTTTTTACTCATCTAAACCTGAATATCATAAATACTGTCTTTACAGGCAGCCCAGGCTATCCCTGCTGGAGTCCCAGCTGGAACTCTGGAAGTTGTAAGTGTCAAATACCACAGTTTTATATGTTCGAAAGCACTTTTCTATCCATTAAGTACTCTTATGTGTAATTTGGCAATTTTCGTTTCCAGCTGCTCCCTGTTGATGCCCAGAGACAGCCTATTGGAGGACCTGTAAGTGCAACAGTACAGTTTGATACTGATTTAAAAAATAATGTATATGTATATATATATATATGAAGAGTTCATTTGCAAAAACAGATAACCTTCAAAAAAACCCACTTTTCCATCGTCTACCTGAGACAATATCAGTGAAACTATATATGTATGTATGTGTGTGTGTGTATATATGTGTATATATATATATACACACACACACACACACACACACACATATATATATATACATATATACACATATATACATAGTTTGTAATTATACCTGATTTACTGCCGTTTTAAGTACATGTTTGTGTGCCTAATTGTATTTTTATTGAAAGGTCCGTGGGTTCATCAAGCAGGAGATCCTCCAGGCAAATGGCAGAGACACCAAGGACTTGGTGGGTGTCTGAAGAGCTTAACCTCTCTTATAGAAGTTGTTGAGAGCATTTATTGAACTAATGATCTCTTTCTATCTGCTCCAGTACATCCCCTTTGGTTTTGACCTCCCAGCTCCCGCTGCAGCTGCCCCCGTCGCTCCCGTTGATCCCGTTGCTCCCGTTGATCCCGTTGCTCCTGCTGCTCCTGCTGCTCCTGCTGCACCTCTTGAGCCTGTCATTGCTGCTGCTGCCCCTGTAAGAATAACATTGATGTGGATTGTGAACCTCTTAAATTTATTGAAAAAACAGTAAGACTTAGTCACTGTCAGGTGCTATTCATGTGTATAAAAATAAATCACATGACTGCAGGAGGTAGTAATCTAAAGTTAAAATGAAGTTGAAGCGCTGATGAGTGCAACAGGTTCATTCAAATAAGTGAGTATTACATCAGAGAAAACAGTCTTCCAACTATTTCTGCTGAGCTGTTGAGAAACATCAGCGGTCATGTGGGAGTCTGTCCTCACTCCCAATTGGCTCATCAGAAACCTCTGTCATTTCAGGCTGCCAAACCCATGGGTGATGACGATGACGATGACGACTAGAAACATCGGAGTCAGCAGGATCCTCACACACAGGTACAAACACACACACATAAAAGACAAATTCACATACTCGCAAGGCACTTATTTTGCACCATAATACTGTAATTCAGACCTGTTTGTGGTTTTAACAAAATAATTGATGAAAACATCTGAAGATTGTATGTTATTTTCCTGATTGCTTCTATTCCCATTTTAGGCGACCGCAGGTGTGAGACCAGCAGCCAACCCCTCGTGAACAATGACCAGCTAGCAATGCTATTTTCCAAATAATGACAAATGTGGTGCTATGCATTTCAGGAGACTGTGGTGCTCTGCAGATGGTGCTGTGTTTTCTTTTTATTTTAGAAAAAGTGCTCTATGTCTCATAATAAAACATGGTGCTATGCAGTGATTTATTGCATTTTTCCAACAACAATAACATGTTTTCTCATTCAAATTCACTATTTCTGTGCTTCACAATAAATAAAAAGAACTCATTAACGCATTCTCTTCTGGTTCTTTGCTTCAAATAACTATATGTAATGAATATTAGCTGCCCAATCCATGAATCACATGTAGTTTTGCAGTTTACTATACATTTTTGTGACATATTTCGCTGGAAAATCAGCTTTTTGACAGAGTCTTCACAAGTAGCCGTAGCTAAATGTACAGACAGGCAAAAAAAAAATAAAAATGACAACATAGAAGCAATAACATGAGGTTAGTTTGAATTTTAGTTAAGTTTACAGTTTATTTTAATAAGTTGTAGTGTATCATGTGAATGTGAGTGTGCTTGGTTGTCTGTCTCTAAGTGTAGCCCTGTGATAGACTGGTAACCTGTCCAGGGTGTCCTCTGCCTTCCCCCTAAGTCGGCTGGGATAGGCTCCAGCCCCCCCGTGACCCTAGTGAGGATTAAGCGGTCTATAGAGAATGGATGGACGCATGAAAATATACCTATAACTGAAGAACACTGAGAGGACTAGGGACATGCATGTCAGAACATGTATGGCAGATTCGTTGTAGTATCTGGTTGCACCACCAGGTGGAGCCTTTTATTGTTAAATAAGGGGTCACAGGTGTGTCTGGCGGAGGTCAAGTTTAGCTTTGTGCAGACTCTGGGTAATGCTAAACTAGGATTTTCAAATGCTTAAACAGACTGTGTGTGTCAGCAGAGAGCAGCTGTAGTTGTTGATGTTCAGGAGCAGCAGGAATCTGATCACATGCTTCCAGCAGCATTAAAAATAAAGCGATGAAGTGTATCAGAGATGGTCTGCTTTGAGTAGAAATTGATTTTAGATGTCGTAATAAATACTGACAAATTTCCCAGACTGCTAAAGTTGCTGTGACAGTATTAGTGGACATCTGTTCCAGGTGAGCAGCTGTTTTCAGCAGCTGGACTAACATTAACTACAGTCAACACTCACATCATTATGTACATCAGCTATGAGGATTATTTTGATATTAAATTGCTATGAAGAGATTTAGAAAGTTACATATTATTTTCTGTGCAAGAATGCAACACATTTGTTACTTTAAATACCTTGAATTTTGTTGAGCCAATCATAGGTTTGTTGTCATTATTTTCTTTTTAATGCAACTGGTGTTTTTAATTCTGTTTCCCAAAATCCTAAAGTAACTGAGTTGATTTTATGGTAAATATTAAATATCAGTGGTTAATGATGAGTTCATTTGCAAAAACAGATAACTCCATTTTTGTTTCCAGAAAACTTATGTTTTGTTGTTTGCTTGAGATAATATCAATCAAACTGAAGTTGAGTGGATTTGACTCAGGAAAAAAATGACATGACAAAAATAGACATAATTTAACTTTGACTGATATTGTCTCACGTAGACGATGAAAAAGTGGGTTTTTTTGAAGGGTTGTGAAGATGGAGTTATCTTTTTTTGTAAGTGAACTCTTCAATTTTAACCACATACGAGAAAACAACTATCATTCAATCAGCAATAATAGATTATTGATTGTAAACGGCGCTGACTATCGTATAGGGAAACTGGATTAAATTTCTGCCAGATACTGCAGTTATAAAGTGCCCCAAAACTGTCATGAAGGCAAAATGTGGAGCAAACAGAGTGGAGGTGTGCTCTACTGTAGACAGTGTAATCAAACACAGTCTGCTATTACTCAGAAAGTGGATTTGACCACTGGTCATTTAGTAAAGCTGAAGACTAGACACCTATACTGTACCCACTCATTGGGTTACATCACTGGCATGGAGTGTGATTGGCTGTGTGGTGAGCGGGCAGCCTATAAAAGCCAAAGTAACTCTGTGCAAGATACAATACTATCAGCTGGCATCATCTCCAACATCTCCAGCATCGATTTTTCTTTTTCTGTGGTGCTTTTTTTTTATTGCAGAGGGTGAGTTAAAGAACTGCAGGCTTTTCTAAGAGGATGCAACCATCCAGGACAGTTTGTAATGATGAATCTTCTGTCTGTAGGTCAAAAATGAACCTGGCCGTTCTGTGCCTCTGCTTGGCTAGCACAGCTTGTGCTGTACCAGTGAGTGTTAAATAGTAATGGTACTTTAACATAGCAAGGACTTTTATTCTCTCAGGTAGGGCCCTCTTTTATGTTATCTAAAAATGTCTGTTTTTGCCCTTAGCTGCAGTACTTGCCTAAATTCACTGCTCCCAGACTGCCGGCTCCACTTGCACAGGTAATAATGAATACACATGATGCATACTAGAAGCATTACAGAAACACTGCTGTGTGGAATTGACTCTCTACTGATATTCTCAACAATTTCTCATTCGTTTAGATAAAAAATCCCTTCACAGCTGGTTTCCAACAGCCTGGAGTTCCTGGTGCTTATAGTGTGGAAATAGTATGTCAGCTTCATTATTTCATCGCTCCACATGCAGTTTCCACATCAGCATTTATGAAATGTGGTTTTTCCTGTGGTTATCAGCTATGCTCACTGCAAGTATTTATATTTGTGTTTCTCTCTAAGATTTATCCCCACACATTTCCTGGTGCCGCAGGAGGCGTAAACCCAGCACAGGCAAGCACACACACATTTTACAGAAGTGTCTTCACATATATATATATATAAAAAAAAAATATATATATATATATATATATAAAGATAAAACATTACATAACTTCTTTTATTATCGACTGATTTTCCTTCCTGTGCATTTTTCTGCAGCCCTTTCCCACTTATGGCTTTATCAAGTACTCCATTCCTCAGCCACCAGGCAGACAGAGTGTGGAAGTCGTAAGTGTTGTTTAGTTTTTTTTGCCCTTTCCATATACAGAAACTATTGTGACTGGAACGACTTGATTTACTGTTCGTGTTCGGTAAATTAAAAGACTCACTGGAGCAGGATTTATTGACATTGTTGTGGTCTTGTGTTTTCACATTTGCAGTTCTACCCATATGACTTCCGTCGGCAAATGGTAAACATTTCAAACTTTGAAATATTTTCCATGCATACTTAAAAAATATGAAAATAAGCATGGTACAGAACTAAATAAGAAGTTTTTTTTTTCTTCCAGATAGTGCCACAGATCCCTCCTATGACAAATGTCCCTCCAGTGCCAGATGTGAGACATACTTTATTTTAAATCTCCATTATGCATAGTTTGTTTATATTTATATATTCACCGCCTTCATTTGTTTTTTGCAGGTTCTTCCATTTGAATTTCCCCCTCAAAATATTCCCCAGCAACCCCTGAATGTGAGAAAAAGAAAACAACAGATATAGTCTCATAAGATGTTTATTGTATTGATTCTAAGGGGTTTTGTACTTTTTTCTCATGAACTTGATGCACTTCTGTTTATTTTTCAGATTCCATCATTTGATATTAATGCTCTTCCCTCCCAGGATCCCCCTCAACCGCTCCAGCAGGATCAGCCCATACAGACCAGCCAGGTAACCATCAACAATATTTTTTTTATTATCATTAGGAGTGTACTGCAATTATGAGACATACAAATACATAGAAACAGTAATCAGTTTGAACCATGCCTTAATTTAACAACATTTCTTTTAAATTGCTTGTTTGTCTTTGCAGATGCCAGCAAAGGTGTAAAAGTGTGAACTCTTCTTTCCTCCTCAACATTCAAACATCAACAGTGGAAGAGATGATATTAAATCCCAAGTGATTCTGTTTTTAAAACGTTTATCTTAAATTAAAATGCATAGATTATCAAAGAATAACTTTGATTTAAGTTTTTAAATTAAGGAATAAGAATATTACTAAACTGTAGTATGACATTGTCATCTGCATAGAATGGAACATATTTCTGAACTTCTGTATGTTTTCCTTTGTTTTTATAGATTAACAATAACCTGTTGTAGAATTGCAGACTCGTTGTAGCCTGTGATGCTGCATTTTCACAGTATCTGCAAATCTTCATTAATTAATTCTAACTTTTCCCTAAAGTATCATTTTATTTTAAGAAATAAAGTCAACATTTTGAAGCAAATATTTGTTTTTCTCTGTTTATTTAAGAGGTTTTTGCGCTTGTTAATAGTTATATAGGGCAGCTTGTGATGTAAACATATATTTAGTTTTTCTATGTTGCAATTCAAAGGCATCTTTCACCAGACCTTCCTGATTTTTACATGCTCGCCCATACAATCTGTAGCAGTATTGCAAAAGTAGCACACTTTCAAAGAAAAACGACAAACCTAGCAAACCTGGCAAACCTGGCGTGGTGAAACTTGTTATCAGTATGCTATCTTTTCTCTCATATCTCATCAATATACTTATGAGAAGCTCCAAAATGGTTTGGGTATGGATATTATATTTCCATTTCTGCTTTGTCATGAGCTCCAATAAAATAAACAATAAAGTTACACATAACAAAATTGTATAGGTAATAAGGAAGAAAATCGTAAAGTCTTTGATATGTTCTTGAAAAGAGCAAACCAAATTCCCCACTGGCCAATAGTTCTGAAAACAGATGACTTCTGCTTTTCATTAGTTTGCCTGTCTAGACAGTTCCTTATAATTACCACCTTGTTGATAAATCATGCAAGTGTGATTTTCATTATTGCATAATTAGAGCAGAAAGTATCAGCATGGCAGTAAGAAATACTTTCTGATAACTTAAACTGTGTTTATGACCCCCTTGGAATGCTGCAGCACATGCAGCATCTCCAATACAGGTACAGGCACATAGGCATCTTACTCAAGGCCCATGCTATAGTGCATTACACAGCAAGCATATATTGCCACAGTTGTCGGGCAAATTTCCCCACAGTGAAATGTAAGTGCCTTAGAAAAATAAATACCATAAAGAGAAAGCCAAAGACCTTCCTGATCCTTCCTCCCCTGGGGACAAAAGCCTGTCACAGCACGACTTAATGGCTATCTCTTCAAAGACACTTAAAACACCCAAACATCATCCTCTCACGCTATGACTGTGTCATCTTCACAAGTTTCTTTCCTGGAACAAGAGATCACATAAATTCATAACCTCTATCAACAGCATGAGAGGGAACGTCAAAAGCCACTTGAAAAACCTTAATTAAAACTGTCTCAACTACATTACAATGGTTTTTATACTATAAGGTGCTTCTGGAATGAAGTCTGCAATAAATTTCGATTTGGCAATGGGGTAACACTATTTACTGGTTTGGATGGTTAAAACTAAGGAATGCGATAACGTGCGGTTTTTCGATAGTAAATCAATGAAGATGTTCAAAAGATAGAAACAGAAGCACTGAGAAGAAACATATTATTTTGGGGAGGTTATGACTGGCAGCACAAAAGGCAGCTATGGGAAAGCTGCAAAGTCAGAGAGCAGAAACTAAAGAATCTTAATGTTCTTGTATGTTCTTGATGGTCTTTTAAGGTTTATTATTAACTCAAAAATCCTCACTGAGAGCCTATATATAATCTAAATTTAAAAATATTCACAAGATCAGGGGGAAAATATGTAATCCACCAATCAAATGTGTGTATACAGGGTTATTATAGTAACCGATTCTGAGGATCCTTCACGCATACTTTTCCCTTTTTCTTTTCTCTTAAGTATCTTTGAAGTTGTTAAAGTCATCTTATTTTGACAATTCCACAGTTTCAACTCTTTATTAAGTCTATATTATGATTGCAGAAAGACATTAAACCAAGGTTCACATAGAAAATGTAAATTTTGTAAAGGCCGACCCACCACTTGGACCCTGCTGGTTATTAGATTATTCTGCATATCCAGGCTCCACACCAGTATGAGGCAAGTTAGTATTCATATGATTATAATACTGCGATCAAGGAATTAAAAGATGTGATTAACCATTAATCAGTTGACTGACTTTACTTTCTTTTCTTTTTTATGCCTTCCACAAAAATGTTAGGCGGGCACTGCAGCATGACGTCTCTCCTTTGTTTTCATGATTGTCAAAGTATGTGAATGAAGTTTCATTCATGCGCAGTTTTGCTAAATTCTGCTAAATCTGGTCACTTTCGAAATCCTCTTGGCAACTTTTTTTGATTTTTTTTTGGTCAAAAGCGACTAGTGACACATCTAGCAACTCTTTTTGGTGTTTTTGGAGACTTTTCTGGTGTTTTGGGGACTCTGATGTGACAACACGTATTGTTCTGCAGTTACTGTCCTCAGCCAGCAGCGGTGGTGCTGTGAGCTCCCTCCTGTCCCAAAGCACTCACAGGCAGTCAGGAGTCTGGTCAGCAGTCCCAGCTGCAGTCAGCAGGCCAACCAGATGTCATTTTTACTTTGCTGCAGGTGGATCATTTAAGTTCAGCTTTTTATTTCCTAAATATGAGGAGGACTCAAATAGACATTGAGTATTTTACTTGAAAGTAACCTTCAACTCAGCATCCTTTTTTTTTTTTTTTTGAGTTCAAAATGTTTTGGCTGCCTGCAGAAAAAAAAAAGACGTTTTCTCTGAAGCAGTTCATTGATTTTATAAATGCAACACACTATAGCTTTTTATACATAGCATAAAGGTAAAAAAACAATATATACAGTATTATCGTCATTTTAGATTTCAAAAGGGTTTTTTGGCTCCCAGTGTTTTCTTTTCTGTGGGAAATGGGTCCAAATGGCTCTGTGAGTATTTATAATAATACATTTTATTTATAGAGCGCTTTTCACAAACTCAAAAACTTTACATGTTTAAAAAAAAAAACAACAAACAAACAAATAGAAACAAAACAAATGCAAGTATACAGAATAAGTCAATCTAAAGAAAACAGAACAAACAGTTGGAAAAGCAAAAAAAAAAAAGTAAATACATACATACATAGTTAATGTTGTGTAGTGACAGGTTGAAAGCAGTGCGGAACAGATGTGTTTTTAATTTGGACTTGAAAGTAGTAGGGTCAACAGTGTCACGAATGTCTTTTGGGAGTGAGTTCTATAGGGAGTGGGTGGCAACAGAGAAGGCTCTGTTCCCCCAGGTTCGGAGTCTGGTCCTAGGGGCGGTCAGGAGGTTAGCATTTGCAGAACGGAGGGTACAGGAGGATGTTGAAGACGTCTACTTAATTGTGATCATGATAACAGGCTTCCTGCTGTTTGGAGCTTGTGGGTTCCTGCTTTATCGCAAAGTTCGAACGACGGAGGCAGCAGTTTTGGCATTTGACAAGCTGCCCGTCATGGAGGGATTGCTTCGGGCTGTCAACTCTCAGACTCAAGTGATCTGCGAACTAAATCGCAAAATGGAAGAACTGATTCGCAAGATGGATACCACCTTGGAGCGGTTGAACAGCCCGATCCGGATGTAATGGGCCATCAAATTCAGCTTTTTTGGATCACAGAGAGAACCAGTGGGACTCTAAGGACTGACGGTATATTGCAGTGTCGGCCTGACCCAAACAATCTTTCTTTATCTTCATTTGGCTCCCCCGCTTCGGCCTTGGCCTTGGAAGGCTGATACCTCTACACTTCTCCTGGATGTTACGCAGACAGATGCTCAGCCCCTCCCCTACCCTACTCCTTCTCCTGTGAACTTTGTTCTGGACCAGAACTCTTCGAGGTCGTCTCCACGGCAACGAGCGTGTCTCGTCACCTTCATCAGACGTCAGAGATACTGTTGAGTCTGGCCGGCGATGGAGTCCATGGACTTACACATACACATACATGAAGACACACAACACACACACACACCCTGGACTCAACGCCTTGGTTGGCTCTCCACCCTCCTCTCTCTCCCCGTCGCAGACCAGTATGCTGTGGGCTGATGCGACGCGCCTCGTGGCTGCGTGACGCGCCGTGTGGTTGCGTGCTCCCCCCAGCGTCTGGGCTGTGACACCTCCCCCACCCCAACACCCTCCCCCCTCCCACATGCAAGTCTTGAGTTTTGTTGTGATGTTTTATCATGTGCTGATGTGCTGAGATGTTTTTTTTCCCTATTCCCACACTGAGGTTAGCGGTTGTGCCGAAAAGGATGCTGTTGCAGTAGGCGATACGTTTAAGGTTGCTTAGCCCTTCCTTAGCTAGTTAGCTAATGCAGCTCCTATACATTGGTGACTGTGGCTGTTGAGAACAACTCATAAGTTGAGTTGTTGCAAGTGATCTGAAATATGTCCATGATATAAAACTCCCTATATGCTGTAGTGATCCATTGAGCAATAGATACTGTTCATTTGCTGGAGGTGTACGCATCCACTGTTTTGCGAACACTGTCAACTGATAGCTCAACACTCTCCCATTCTGTATTACTGTTGATACCACTGTTAGTTGGATGTTTGCTCAGCTTGCATGTGAGATCATAGGATGGATGTACGCAGGTGATAACTAAACTCAGCCTGACAGTAAGTGCAGGCCGTCCTAGTTTTGTTGAATAGGCAAATAGTATTTCCCTTCATGGGGTCTTTTTCTAACATTCACCAATTCAAGGAACATATGTAAAGTAACTTCTAGCACAATCTTAGTCACTTGAACGCTTTAGTAGTGGGCATTCTGTTTGCAGCATAAACTGTTCATAGAGTCCAAAAAAACCCTGTCTTCTTCCGTCTCTTGATTTTCATAGCAGTTGAAAACAACATTATGGTGTTTTACTGTCATCAGTTTGAATAAAGCGTGGCTTTGGAATCTAAATGTTTCTATTAATTAAAAAAAAAGAAGCTTTGGAAGAACAGAACTTCACCAGCTCAGATTACACTATTTAGTTTTGATATTTCTCTTCAAGGGCTGCAAGGTGGAGCAGTGGTTAGCACTGTTGCCTCGCAGCAAGAAGGTCGCCGGTTTGCATCTCAGTGAGGACACCTGGGATCTTTTTTGCAGTTTGCACGTTCTCCCCGTGCAGCGTGGGTTCTCTCTGGGTTCTCCAGCTTCCTCCAACACAGTCCAAAAACATGTTGAGGTTAATTGGTGATTGTAAATTGTCCGTAGGTGTGAATGTGAGTGTGCTTGGTTGTCTGTCTCTAAGTGTAGCCCTGTGATAGACTGGCGACCTGTCCAGGGTGTCCCCTGCCTTTGCCCCAAGTCCACTGGGATAGGCTCCAGCCCCCCACGACCACAGTGAGGATTAAGTGGTGCATAGATAATGGATGGATGGATAGATAATGGATGGATTTCTCTTCAAGATTAAGTGTTGTGCTACTTCAAGAGGTTTGTAAAATCAAATTCAACCTCAAAACACACACCTGTTTAAGAATCAGTTGTTAGGTGAACTAATTCCTTAATTATTATGTTTGTTTGATCAAATTGTGAAAAGCTTTCCTGTTTTCACACAAGTCAATAACATGAATACTATAATTCTGAAAGTATGAATTGTAAAAAAAAAAAAATCAGATATTTCTTTGGTAGATGTCGGCACTGCAGCTAGTTTGCTGAAAGACAGCACTGTTTAATTAAGTTGGCAAATGTTCAGTTTTCATGTTGGAACAGACGGGGATCACTTTATAACCTCAACTTTAATTCCTACTGCAATTTCTTTCATAGCAGCTAACAGTAAAACAACCTCACTCTTTGTCATGATAGCAACATTGAAGTTTGGAAGAACTAATGAAGAGATGGTTATCTTTTAGCAAAACCCATTAGATCAGCAGATTGGAGGCAAGAATGTCTAGGATACGGTTTTGCAGATTACAGAGCAAGTCCTTCATTATCTGATTTGGAGCGTGAAAAAAACAAACATAAGAAACCTACAATGTTCAAAATCGCTGTGATGTACGACCGCGCCATTTAAAACAAACATGAGGACGAGGGAAAACTCAGACACCGCAAAGGAGGTGCTTCCCTTTGGCAATGTGTGTGTTTCTACCTTTAAACGTTAGTATTTATATGATGGCAAATAATCTTTTGGAAACTCATGTGAAGGGCACTTTGATAGAAAACTGCTAAAGAAAACTGTATACTATTACTTTGTCATTCCTGCATGCAAAATTATCCTTAACACACAGATGTATTACCAGCAAAATGTATTTGAAGTATTAAAAGTAAATGTACTTTTATGACAGAAAATCATCCCTCTGGATGATAAATTATATGTCGCATTCAAAATTGTTCTTATTTTGATGGTATATTAATGTGTAAGTTGAATTTTGTCATTTGACTGCAACAGTTTCATTTCGCAGATGCTTTTATCCAAAGCAACGTACATCTGAGAGCTGATACAACACAAGCAAGGATCTAGTCAGGAGAAAACAACCTGGAAAAGTGCCATAGAGCTACTTAATTAAAGGATCCTCCTAATGATCACAAATATAATTGGGAGTCAGGAGTCTATCGACGGAAGAGAGAAAAAGAAATTCCATTGTTTGCTACATAAATCTGTATCAATCCATCTTTATTTAGTCTTTTCCTGTAAAATATTGCATTATTATTTCATTTTATTTTATTTTATTTTATTTTA